CAATAGGCTCACTCTATTTACATGGGACTCATAACATAAATAGTAAAAAGTGGGTGTTACATTGTACAGTGGCATTAAGTGCCGAAATTTGCGCCTCTGCCTACGCCTTGGGAGATAAAAAGGCGTGATGTTATGTTATGTTATATATAACTGACCATGTATGTTAAATACAATATACATGGTCAGTATATTAAATAATATATATGGTATATTCAATACAATATACATGGTCAGTTAAGTTTACCACTCTCCTGAAGGAGCAGACTCATATTTTTTTAAAGAAAACCTGGGGCAACGTTTTCTTTAGGATACATAAGATACACAGACTAGGATTTTCTCCTGTATCCATGGGTGCGCTTCAAACATACAAGTTCACATACACATGACATCCAGACCGTTTTGTGGATGATACAAAGAGTTGTTTCGTGCGGGAATAGAACCAACGACACGCTGCACGGCAGCTGCTTGCCCAGCCACCGTACCAACCGTGCCGTCAATAATTGTGTTATTTTTTTTTTCAGATATTGTCCTGTTCTTTGAAAATATTATTACAATCAGCAAAGCGTATTGTGAGTAAAATATATATAACTGGCGACCCGTGCAATATGCATGTATTATACATATAAATCTCCCTTAAGAATTACTCTATCTGTTTAAAAAAACCGCATCAAAATCCGTTGCGTAGTTTTAAACATCTAAGCATACATAGGGACAGACAGACGGCGGATAGCGACTTTGTTTTATACTATGTAGTGATATATTATAATATCTATTTTCAAAATACAGATTTATTTGTTCTGGATCACCTGATGGTAAACAATCGGCGTCGCCCATGGACACCTGGAACACCGGAGGCATTACAAGTGCGTTACCAGCCTTTTGGTGATTAGGTATTTGAGGATTGTTGGGGATTCAGGTATTGGGGAGATTGGGGAAGGGGAGGGTAATTGGGCCTCCGGTAACCTCACTCACACGACGAAACACAACGCAAGCGTTGCTTCTCGTCGGTTTTCTGCTCGGCCGTGGTATCACTCCGGCCGAGCCGACCCTTTCGTACCGAAGCATGGTTATCCCACTCTTAAATATTATATTTATTTATGTTGTTAATTTTTTTTTTTTCATAATAACTATCGTGAGACATACTAAATTAAGTAAAAATCGCTGGTTACTCACGTGAATATACTGAGAAAAGCTCTACTAGTTTAGATAGGTAGATGTCAGTAGCTGCGCGACATAACCGCGACCGCGCACGCTGCTCATGAGGAAGAACCCCTCTGTGGTTCGAAACTAGTAGAGCTTTTCTCAGTATATTCACGTGAATAACCAGCGATTTTTAGTTAATTTATATTTTTCCTTTCATTTCAGATTTGGAGGAAGCTGTTTTTATAACTGAAGAGTATACGGCGACCGACAGTGAGTGTTTAATACTTATTCAATGACTAGGTCTTGCCCGCGACTTCGTCCGCGTGGAATATAAGTTTTAGTGTATAACTTTTATTGTTTCAATTTGCCAAAATTGGGCGTCAACACCAACAACAGCAACAACAGCAACAACAACAATATTTGTTAAACATTTTCTGGAAAAGTACTAAATTTAAGTTGCCTCGTTGGCCGAGTGGTCGGGCAAAGTATTACTGGTTTTTTTCAAATATTTTCAGTAGTAGCACGGAGTCTGGAACTGTGCACGGTATATGGCAATAGACTCACCCCCTATTACATGGGACTCATAACATAAATAGTGAAAAGTGGGTGTTACATTGTACAGTGGTATAATGTGCACCTCTGCCTACCCCTTGGGGGATAAAAGGCGTGATGTTATGTTATGTTATAAAATCGATTAATGAAAGTGTGATTATTTTTTTTTTTATTTCACCGTAAATTATTATGTTTTCGGCTTACTCACGTAATAATTTGACGAGAAACTCGACTAGTTTCAAGCCACGCTAGAAGCTCATGTTCATGAGCAGCATTTCGCTATCCGCGTCGCGGTGACTGTCGCGCTGCTACTGAAACTAGTCGAGTTCTGAGTCAAATTACTACGTGAGTAAGCCGAAAACATAATAATAATTTATTTAGTATGTCTCGCGATACTTACAATACAAGTATTTTATTGTATTGAAGAGTCGAAATAATTTATTTTTGATTAAGGAAAGTACCCAGATGTGTAACGTTTGTTTTTTCACAGATTTCATTGACGCTTTGAGAGACCTGAAAAGGGCAACCGGACAATCAAGTAAGTTGAATTATATTTTGGAATATGAGACGGAGACAGTAAGAAAGAAAGTGTAGCGGGTTCGATTCCCGCACGCAGAAATGTTTTGTAAATTTCTTTCGGGTCTGCCAGATGTCTAAAAAAGAATCCCTAAAAATATTTAACAAAACTAACATTAAACGTAATTTTATATATTAAGGTAGCTGCTTTAGATAAAGGCTGTAACAATATATGTACTGTAACAAACGCTAACATATATTAAATTAATTCTAAAAATATATTTCAAAGCCGCTATCAATTAAAGTTAAGTGTGGGAGAGCCATGCTTCGGCACGAATGGGCCGGCTCGACCGGAGTGATACCACGGCCTCACAGAAAACCGACGTGAAACAACGCTTGCGTTGTGTTTCGTCGTGTGAGTGAGGTTACCGGAGGCCCAATTACCTTCCCCTTCCCCAATCTCCCCAATCCCTGAATCCCCAACGATCCTCAAACTCCTAATCCCCAAAAAGCCGGTGACGCACTTGTAACGCCTCTGGTGTTCTAGGTGTCCATGGGCGACGCCGATTGCTTACCATCAGGTGATCCGTCTGCTCGTTTACCGGCTTATATATTCCATAAAAAAAAAAAAAATCAATGTAAAAAAATATAATTTCTCATTCTCCTTTCTAGCTGTCCTCCAAGCAATAGACTACATAAAGAAGAACAAGCCACGCATAGAAAGAACAACAACTACTTCTACGGCAAAATCTTCTGAGTATGCCACAGAAGTGACCTATTCTCCTACAAGTACCACAGAAGAATCAAGTACCAAACAAAGTAATGCTGCAACAGCAGATAATAATTATCAACAAGACACTACAACATCAAAAACAAAGGAGACTACAGTTAAAGAAGAATTAACAACTCCACCAAATTCTTCTGCAAAAGAAACTACTGTAGAAAAGATTACAGAAGAATCTGGTAGTACAGAAGAAGCAACAGAACAAATGACATCCACAGAAGAGTATACCAAAGAAGTGATCACTTCTACTGAAGAAACGAAAGTTCCAGAAGGATCTACGGCACAAAAGACTCTAACTGACATTTTAACTACACAGTCCTCTATACAGTCTACTGCTGCTAAAGATGTGACTACAGAAGTGACTCCATCTACAGAAGATAATGCAACTGTAAACCAAAGTTCAAGTACAGAAAAGACTATAGAAGGAATAACCCCAGAAGTTTCAACAAATACAGTACCTAGAGACGAATCAGTTGAAAAGATTACAAAATTACACCAAACTTCTGAAAATTCACCTACTACTGCTGAAAATACCACTCCTAAAGACACTGAACAAGTAACTGATAAATCTTCTACATATAGCTTAACTGAGAAGACAATTGAAGCAGAATCTACTACTGACCAACAGACTACACCATCAGTAGAAACTAGTACACAAGGAAAAGAAGACTCTAAGCCTACAGAAGAAATCCTAACCACGTCTTCAACAGAAACATCAACTAAAACCATAACAGAAGAATCCACAACTACCACAGAAGGTAATAATGCTAGTGAAAAGACCACAGAAAAAATCTCTGTCAATGATGTACTGTCTACTACACCTAAGTCCACAGAAGATATAAATGCAGCTTCTACAAAATCTAGCGTTACCACAACAGCTACAGAAATCACCACAGAATCCATAACTACAACACAAAAGCCAAATGAATCAAGCACTACAACCAAATCAGAAGACTTAAACACCGCATCAGAAGATAATACTTCTGAGAAATTAACTTCGACAGAAACTTACATTTCACGTTCCAGAAGTACAGAAGACTCATCTTCTGACTGCTCTTCCTCTTCTTCCTCAGAAGAGTTCAGTTCTGAAGTTCCTAGTACAGAAGAAAATACGGCTACAACATCTGACAAGGCAATTTTTACTACAGAAGCAATATCTTTATCTACTGACAATTCTTCTTTACCAACTTCTACTGAACAAGCGGCAACTGAAATTACTTCAACTGAAAAAATTGAACAAAGTTCTCCAACTCAATTAACTAGTACTCAAGAATCAACTTTGTTGACAACTGTTGCATTAGAAACAACAACGGCTCAAGAACAAACAACAATTGTTACAACGGAACAACAAACAACTGAACAAGGAAACCTTGAAACGACTTCATCAACTCAAGCGACTGAACCAATTCAACCAACAACGACTTCACAACCTTTAGAAACCACTGAAAATGCCACTACCACTGAGAAATCTACTGAATCAGATATAACAACAGTTCAAACAACTATAGAACAATTGTCAACTACAAATTTACCGTCAACTGAAGCTGACACTACAACAGTTGAAACAACTACAGAACAACCAACTACAGAAGCTAATTCTGTTGATAAAACAACTAATCAGTCACCAACACCTGCCTCAGAAGAGAATGTTAGTCAAACTTCTACACAATCTATAGAAGATACTACTTCTACAACAGAAGCTAACATAATTGATACAACAACAAGTGAAATTACTTCTGAACAACCTGCATCGACAATTCAACACAATATAGAATCTTCTACTATTACAACAACAGCAGAACAACCAACAACTATTAAGACTACAAAAGACCAAGGAACAACTGAATCAACTTCTACAACTACTCAAGTTACATCAATAGACCATTCAGAAGAATATGTTAGCTCAGAAGAATCCAACTCATCTGCGTATGATTCCACTGAAAACAGTTCAGAAGAAGAGACTCAAAGACAAGGGGAATACGACTCAAAATCGGTTGAAGATCTTGAACCGACAGAGGGGAATACTGTACCTATGTCTTTCAGTTCAACAACAGAGGCTTTGAAAACTGTAACTATAGTTCAATCATCAACAGATGTGTCTAGTTCAAAACAACCAGATATTAATGAATTTGTTACAACAACTGCTCAATCAGTAACTGAACAAATTACAACTTCAGCTTCGTCAACAAAGCAAGAAGAATTAACAACTGAAGCTTCTACAACAACCCAAGATAATCCTTCAACAACAGATATTTCATCTACAACAACTCCTTCTGAAGTTCCATCAACTCAACCCTCTCATGATGAACTTACAACAGAACAACATACAACTCAAAATACACCTACATCAACTGATGTAGCTACTGAACCAACTTCTACTGAAGAAATAACAACAACGCAATCAGTTTCTACTGATCAGTCATTAACAACTAAGGCTGCCACTACTCAAGTAGTTTCATCTACGACTACTGAGCCAACTGATAATGTGTCAACACAAGAGACTACTACTACTGAACGGTCTGCAGCTACTGAGATATCAACAGCTCAAGCTTCATCAACAACTGAGTCGACAACAGCCGCAGAACAACTGTCAACTGAGGAGATATCGACTGAGGATGTATCTTCATCATCAGATTCTTCATCTTCTTCGTCATCATCAGAACAGGTAACCAGCACTGAACAGGTGACCACTCAGTCACCAGTGACAACAGAATCAGCTACTGAAGCAACACAAGCAGCTGTTTCCACTGATCAGCTGTCAACATCTCAAGTTGTGTCTACCACTGAGTCATTAACAACTGCACAGCCGACTGAGGCAACAACACCATCTGTTTCCTATACTGATCAGTCTGCAACTACTGAGGAATTAACTACTGAAGCTGTGTCCACTACTCAGTCTACAACAACTGAGCAACCAGCTACTGAGAAGAGTACAGAAAACGCTCCCTCTGATCAGCCATCAACAGAACAACAATCAACTGAGGCTGATTCGACAACTCAGTCATCTGCATCTCAGCCAGAAGCTCAACCATCTACTGAAGAATCAGCACGCGATACTTCTTCAACTACCACTGATAAGCCGCCGTCATCAGAACAACCTGAGCAATTAACGACTCAAGAACCTTCAACAACACAGTCATCAACAATTAATCAAGAAGTTACTGAAGAATCAACAACCACTGACCAGCAGCCGTCAACAGAACAACAATCAACTCCAGCCGTTTCAACAACTCAGGCAGTAGAACAACCAGCCACTGAATCAACAAATCAACAACTTACTGATGATTCAACAGCAAATATTCCGTCAACAACTCAAGCATCACTTACTGAACATGACACAACTCCAGGTCTTTCAACAACTGAAGTTACTCCATCAACAACTTTAGGACAACTGTCAACTGGTGAACCAACAACACAAGAGGCTCAATCAACAACTACTGAAAGCAATCTATCAACGACTTCGCAACAACTTTCAACTACAGCAGTTGTTGCTACTGAAACTGCAAATCTATCAACTGAAAGATCAATTTCTACTGAAAAACCTGAAAGAAGTACTTCAGAAGAAGAAAGATCTACGGAATTTGAGTCAGAAGAAGGCTACACATCTTCTGAGTACGATTCACATTCAACTGAATCAATGGAATATCATAAAACAGTACAGTATGATTCTTATGAAACTTCTGACGAAAATGTTAATGAAAATAGTCAAAAGCTTACCAATACTGATAATGTTATAGCTGAAACAACAACTGTTTTATCAACCACTGTTCAACAGCAAACAATTACTGAGTCAGCCTCTACTGAGTCACCTGTAACGACTGAGAAAGTCGCAGACGAAATTACAACTGCAACTTCTACTCAGCAAGCACCAACTGACATACCAACTACTGAGAAAATAACTGAGGAGTCCACAACAATACAACAATTAGTTTCTACTGATCAAACAACAGAGGCAACTCCAACAACAACGTCAAATGATCAGACGACAACTGTAAATGCTATTACAGAGGCAACCACAGAACCTACTTCTGAAACATCAACAACAACTACAGAGAAATCAGTAACAGATATAACAACTAATCAACCAGCCAATGACATTACAAACCAACCATCAACTCAACAGACTGATGAACCAATCAAAACGACGGAATTACCAACAACACAAGGATCACCAACTGAAACAACAAATAAACCAGACACTGAACCAAGTAGCCAGGCAACAACTGACAGTAACCAGCCATCAACAACAACTCTATCAACAGTTGAAAACCAAGAGACAACTACTCAAAATGTAGCTTCAGAAATAAATAATACTGAAGCTCCGGTAACTGAAAATGTTACTACAGGAGCTCCTTTACAAACTGAAAATACAGAAAAAGCTAAAGATATTGCTAAAGAACAACCTATAACTGATAGTCCTGAAAAAAATACTAAAGGTAGTCAATCAAATGAGTATGACGATGATAGTTCTCACGTTGACTGTACTGATACCGAAGAAGATTTCAATGATCGAGTCCCTAAAACTGACACTACAACTTCAGTTACAACTCAAAAAGAAACGATAGAACAATCTACTAAAATATCGAATGATGCTGCCACTACAGTAACAGAACCGCAGAAGAATAATGTAGAATCGACAACTCAAATTGTTACGCAAGAAACGACAACAATATTGCAATCAACTCAAGAATACACTACAGTTAAAACGATTGAAGACACAACGCAGTTGTCGACAATTACTGAGAAAGTTCAACAACCAGAACAATCGACTGTCAACCCAACAACACCACAAGAAACAGTTTCAACAACAACAGAAATAAACCAGACGGAAAAACCTAATGCAGTCAATAAACCACCTACGTTGTCGGAAAAAACCGCTACAGTCGAACCGACTTATGCGCCCGAACCGAAACCACCCGGCCAACAGGGTGTGAAATTCGAGACAGATGTAGGAATGCCTAAAGCAGGGGGCAAGCTTTGTATCAACCAAGGTCGTAAAGGTGAGTCTTTGATTTTAGAGTCTGGCAAACGAAAATAGAGACTGAAAAGGCCCGGCAAATTTAAAAAATATCAGTATAGCAACCCAAAAATTAGTATGTCATACCTGGAGTAACCAGACGTGAAGACGTAACAAACAAACAAATTATTATAAAGTATCAAATTAGGTTACTCCAGGTATGACATACTAATTTTTGGGTTGCTATACTGATATTTTTTAAATTTGCCGAGCTTTTTCAGTCTCTACTTTCGTTTGCCAGACTTTAGCTTCTTTGCTCTTGATAATAGAGTTTAAATTAGCCACTTGATGATGGCGAAATCTCAGTAACATAACATCACGTCTTTTTATCCCGAAGGGGTAGGCAGAGGTGCACATTTCGGCACTTAATGCCACTGTACAATGTAACACCCACTTTTCACTATTTATGTTATGAGTCCCATGTAATAGGGGGTGAGCCTATTGCCATATACCTGGCATATTTCCAGACTCCGAGATTTTTAAAAACCTAGAAATACTTTGCCCGATCGGGAATCGAACCCGAGACCTCTTGCCCGGCAGTCGCACTTGCGACCACGCGGCCAACGAGTCATTAGTGAAAAAAATTCATTTGTGTTTCGTCGTGTGAGTGAGGTTACTGGAGGCCCATTACCCGCGCGATTACATGCGCTGCTCGGCTCCTGTTTATCGTAGCGTGATGTTTCATAGTCCTTCCTCGATAAAAAGACCAATAAAGTAATAGTGCGTTCAAAAAAATAAAATAATGTAAGTATAGATAGATAATGTTTCATTTTTATTACAGAAATTATGAACGCCTTGGAGACAAACATGCGTTTGAAGATCCTCCTCCTCCCAAAGGGTCCTGATGGCAAGAACTGTTACTGTACCTGTAGCAGCAACACTCCACCTGCTATCATTCCATTATCAGAGTTACCAGAAGAAGAACCCGAGACAGAAGCGTAAAATAAAAAGATATTTATTTTTATCTATACTGTAGTTTGGCAATAAAAGATTTTAACGCGGTGTCAGCTGGAATTAATATTAACTTGGACTGAATCACCCACTTCGGACCACATCCCATGAATAAACAATCATCCGAACACAGTACCTCCTCTTTTTAAACTCGACAAAAATAACAAATATCAAAACCGGTTGAGTCGTAGTGTACTGGGTTGCCACAGGTACGATACTAGCGACCTCTATTATTTCAAACTCCTTTTTGCCAAGCTAGGCCAAGATCGATATGAAATTTTAATATTATAATTCTTGTGAAATATTATTACATTAATTATGTTTTACGGTAACTGAGGTGCGGTACAAGATAACTCGACTAGTTTTAAGCCATGGTGGGGCTCAGGCAGTAGTCATGAGCATAATATACCTCCACATTACTGCATTGTGCCTGTATAGTTTTTCTTCCATTCCGAACTTAAATATTTATTTTTTATATGTCTGTAGTGTTCATAATATGATTTATGAGAAATACAATATTGTGTGTATTATTTGTATTGTTTTATTTATTAGTGCCTATGGGCGGCGATTGCTTAGCATCAAATAGGTAATCCGTATGCTCGTTCGCCTCCTATTACATAAAAAAAATTCGACCGAATGATAATCTTGCCATTTAGTTCATTCGATATCTATGCCGCCGTAATGTCGATCGGGCGAAATTGTATTTAAGAGTAAGCCCCCAGGTCTTTCTGATTTTCAAAAATTCTCCGTTTCTGTACCTATTATGCAGTGGCAGTTAGAATTCCTGGTACATTCAAACTATAACTGCTTCGACATTCAGAAGTTTCATAAGTGGAGTCACTTCAGGCCAAGGTCACTTACGCCTTGTCCATTCGTTGCAAACTAAATATTTTTTAGTTATTACAAGATGTGATACGACAATGTTGATCCCAAGCTGAAGATAAATGAGGATGTGGTTCCTCTGGTGCTGCAGGTGTCCATGGGTGGCGCTGATCGCTTACCGTCAGGAGATCCGTCTGCTAATTTGACTCCTATTCCATAAAAAAGATTATTATTGATTGTGACATTTTAGAAATGGGTCCACTTCACCCAAGATCACTGACACCCTGTCCTTTATTCAACAAATGTCTTTACTAAGGGTTGCGGACACCTAGGAAGGTTCGAAAATTCGGTTATTTTTGAGCCAAGATCTCTAATTTTCGAGATATTTCTGATTTACAAAAATTCTCAGCATTACTAGCACGGAGATCGGAATTGTGCTGTGTACGGCAATAGTCCCACCCATTATTACATGGGACTCGAAACACAACTGGTAAAAAGTAGGCCACACTTGTGTAAACAAGTCAATGCCATGACTTGTCTTTACCCAACCATCTAAAATTCGCTTAGTCCGGTGACCCAGTGCCTTTAGCCAATCGCCACTACCGCTTGTCTACAGATAGAGTAGGAAAAAGTAAATGTATAGGGATGACACTGACAAGTTTGAGTCAAAATTTACGTCAATTCCATATAATTTAGTTTTCTATTCTACATGTAGACAAGCGCTAAATGGCATTTGGCTACAGCTGCTGGTATCGTAACTCACAAGGCACAACAAAATGCAAGCATTGTCTTACGTTGTATTTGATACGCCGACGTTTGACCACTATCTCGCCTGGTGGTAAGCGGTGATACTATGGAGCACATCTGCCCATAAGCACCCTGTTTACTCATACCATGAAGACAACCAGGTAATACCCTTCAAGAAACATAGAAAGGCAAAGAATTCCACTCCTTAGCAGTTCGCACAAGGATGCTTGGAGCGAAGCGCTTCGTGCGAGTGGGTGGGACATCCAACACGAACCGGTGATGGTTCGATGATTTTTGTGATGCCGTTGAGATGGTCCATTAGTACAAATGGAAGGGTTACCATGGCTCCGGTTCGAAGCAGTGCCTTTAGCCAAACGCCACTTTAGCGCTTGTCTACAGAGTAGAAAACAAAAAATGATATTCCCGAGGGAAACAAAGTATTAGTATAGATGGCGCTGTGTGTATTGGTATATGTCACAGGCTAGGTACTTTTTATCCTTTTGTGACGCGAGCGAAGCCGCGGGTAAAAGCTAGTATATTATAAAGCAAGGGTAAACCAAGGTAGGTACAATAGATAGAGATATAGGTAATGACGTTTTCTTGTCGGATTCAGCCGACTGTGGTGGAATAACCCAGTATGTGTTTGTCGTCTAAACCCGATCTGGACGGCCCCAAGGTTATTTATAAATAAAACAAGCATTATAATAGTTATAAAATTAATTCATTTATTAAAATTTCATTGTAAAATGATTTCTCATATTAATTACTCTTATACTCATGATTCCTCATAATTAACATCATTTTGCCACATTTAACATAACAGGCGACATCTGGAACAAAAATAGGTCAAAATTACATATTTGTGGATTATAGGGGGGTATTGTAAGGTAATGGTGTTTGTAGGGTAAAGGGGTTTTGTTAGAGCAAGGGAGTTTAGTAGGGTTTTTTTAAGGGGGGAAAATCATCGAATGACTGCTCCCGCCTGGGTGAGGCGGGAGGGAGTGTCAGACTCTTACTGACTAAAAACCACCCCGTTCCTTCTCCTGCACGTCGAGCCGGAGCCCCGGTTAACCGTCAGGTTCTCCGCGACGAGTTTAGTAGGGTAAAGGGGTTTAGTTAGGGTAAAGGGGTTTAGTTATGGTAAAGGGGTTTAGTTAGGGTAAATGGGTTTAGTTAGGGTAAAGGGGTTTAGTTAGGGTAAAGGGGTTTAGTTAGGGTAAAGGGGTTTAGTTAGGGTAAAGGGGTTTTGTAGGATAAAATGGGTAGGGTAGAGCGGGTTTTGTATGATGAATGGCGGTTTGGAATAAATATAATGATAAGAAATTCTAAAGGAATACCAGTAATAATATAACAATTAACTGATTAATAACCGAACAATAACTATTACATAATTGTTGCAAGTTCAATTGCGTCTCGGGTTCGATTCTCGGAGCAAAATACTATCAGATGTTTATCCTTTTTTTATATTAATTCTTTAATAGCACAGATCCCGAATGGTCTATTAAAGGGGCAAGACGAAAGAGATTTTTAATAAAATAACGGAAACCCCTCTGTGCTGTGGTTCGAAACTAGTAGAGCTTTTCTCAGTATATTCAAGTGATTAACCCGCGTTTTTTTGTTAATTTAGTATGTCTCACGATAGTTATCATAAAAACAAAGAAAACCACTTCGTTAGAAGAATACATAACTGGCTAAACGTCACCTCTATGTTCTATAAAAATAATTACAAAAATATGGCTACCAACCTTATTCAACAGCGGACGTATCTATACTAACATAACTGGCCCCCATGTTCTCTCTATGGCGCGTCGACACCACATGCTTCTTCGCAGTCTCCCCTTCTTCAAGGTCCGCGTCACAAACACCACACTTCAATTTTCCAAACTGGTAATACACATATTTATTGCGCGCCAACATATTTATATTATGCTTCAACTCCAAATAAAACCGGAAGACCGCCTCAACAGCTGGCTTCTCCTTGAAATGACCAGCATACACCAAGTGGGTTAGCAGAGATCGGATAGAATTAAAGACGCCCTTGCAATCAACGCAAGTGAAAGTAGCCCCTTCGCTATGCAACACATGGTTGCCTTTCATATAAACGCTTATAATATCTCCCTTATTAGAGTTAATTTTCGCTTCAGCCACCGCTGTTTCATGGTCAACGCTACTCAAAATGTGCTTCACAGCTTCAGACTTATCGTGGAATGATGTTTTACACACTTCGCATTTCAAATCAGCGGTTATTTTGTTCGCAGCGAACATATGTACATCTGGTTGGTTATAGAGAGCTGAGCGAATCAACTTGGCGATCGTATCGAAATGGGAAGCGCTCTCAAAATGTTCAACCATCGCGGAGATCGAAGGCGCCGCTACAAAATCAGGGCAAATAGTGCAAATGTAGAAATTCCCGAAGCTAGCATAATATTCGGAAGGCCTACAATGGTTCTTGTAGAGCATCGACAGTTTACGTGGCGCTGCGTTCCTCAAATGCTTCTTCTGACGGATGTGATTAAAAAGGACTTGTCTAGGGCCCTTTAAAGTCATATCGCAGCAGGTACAATAGTTCCCGATCTTACCCGAAGGTTTAATAAAGTTTTCAATGACCACATGGTCGCGATTGTTGTGCGGTTTGCCAACGCTCGCTAAGTACTTTACCCAGTTTAAGTCTTTAGGACCCCATTCCTCAGGAATAGCACCGTCCGGGTCAGCGTCCTTCATACGAAGGTACAACTCGTCAGACAATTTAGCCAGGTGCTTCTCATCAAGTATATGCAAGATCGAAGCTTCCACAGACTCGATCGGAGTGGCACATAGTCTACAATTCAAGCCGATCGGAGTATAAACAATATCATGGCTCAAAAGGAACTTATCATTTATCTCTTTAATTTTCTCAACAGTTGGTTCAGTCATGGAGAAGGAAATGCTTTTATCAGACTGTAGGATACAGGAAAGATTATGGACATGCGTCGGACTAAACACGTGGTTCAAAACACTGTCGTAATGAAACCTGAGCGTGTAGTACTCACAAGCTATGCAGAAAAACGCCAATTTACCAGTCCGATCATCAATTAACGACAAAAGTTTATGATTGACAAGTAGCTTTATGATCGAAGCCGCGATAGGGCCATAGTAGCGATATTTCTTCACTTGGTTCTTCGATTTTTCAGCAGCTTGATCGTTTTCATCGTTGTCAATGTTCTTATTTGCATCTCCAGCGAAATTCTGGTAGACGTTGTCTTTAATGCTCATTATTATCGGAGCAACAGAGGACGTTTGAGTCGAAAAGTCAATGTTGGACACGTCAGAGCAAAGCTTGTCATATATCTCTTGATAGAACTTTAAAGCAGCATCCACACTAGCCTCAGACGCATCTGGAAGTATTTTCATCAACGAAGTGCTAAGTTTGGACGAGAAATTCTTCTCCAGCTTTTCAACGGGCTTAGTGATAGTTAGTTCCTTAATTTTTGGTAAAGGCAGCTCTGCCATGGCCGACAGACGACGGGACATGTTCGGTAGGATGATAGGTTCAGCGACATCCATGCTTTCTCGTCTCAACTTAGGTAAATGGGCATCAGAATTGAAATGACGTTGTAACGACTCCATTAGAGGTTCCTCATCACTCAATTCGATTTCAATATTGCAGTCAGTGCATATATGGACCTGCTTAGCGTCATCTGAAGTTAGCAGTTCAGCTTTTAGCAACTCAGGTACTTCACTAACAGGAAGACTGTTGAACCGTTGTCTTTGTAAACTGCTTTTCTTTTCAGTCGTAAAAATATATTCAACTTCGACGTAATCGCGTTTTTGTAAATATATATTTTTGTGCGTTTGGTCAAGATTTCTAAGATAGGAGTGTAACACTTTGTTCTGTTGCGTGGTGGGGTGGTTGACAACATTTTGGAAATGTCTAGCGAGGCGTTTGATGTCCTCAAATTTCCTGAACGACAAAACGGTTAGGTTCTCCATTTTAACACGTTTTATTGTCGACTGATTTAGCCTGTAATCTTGATCGCAAGAATATTGGCTTCGCTTATAAAGCTTATGAACAGTTCGATGGATGCCGTCCGCTATGCCCGTACTTTTGACGCCAAATAATTAAATTTTGTACCCAAAATAGTTTGTAAGATTTGGAAATTCAAAATAAAATGTTTTGGTTGGGATATCACTGCATTTCAAGATCTGGAATGAAAGAAAAATATTGGTTAGATTTTTTTTCAAAGTTAAAGTCAAGTCAGTGATTTTCAATGTCAAAAACTATGTTCTAATTGTATGGATGTCGGTTGAGAAGTCAAGAGTTCCTGTCGTCTAAGGGGTATCAAGATTGATCCTTATGTCGGGCAAACTATTATCGGGTTTTCTCGGTGTTTTGAGATTATCGGGATTTTCTCGGTTTTGCGAATATTTCTCAACAATAAATAGCATGGAAGCTATCCTACTTTTTTATATTTATGGGCCTACGTTTGGCCACTATCTCGCGTGGTGGTAGACGATGATGCGGTCTACGATGTAGCACGTCTGCCCATAAGCAACCTATTCACTCGTGCCTTGAAGACACCCAGGATATACCCCTTCAGGAAGCACAGACTCTGGTAAAGTATTATATATGTATCTCACAGATTAAAACTGTTATGCAACGTTAATTTGTATCCTATTTCATAAACATGCTTTATATCTAGAAAGAACACAAGATAACAAGACGGTGACAATAAAAAAACACTTAGTACTGTAACACCAGTTGGTGAATAATTTTAAATTTACAATTTCATATACAATTTAAAATTCGTATTCATACATTCAAGAGATTACAAATCGCATTAAAACTTGCTCAAATCAAATTCGATGTCTATACACGCAATTATCAGGCCTGCGGACGGCGAGCATGGCTGGCTCGCCGCCCGAACAGAACCAGACCCGAGCGTACGGCGGGTCGCGTTCCGCACGCGCCTTAAAGAGCCATCAGACCACCACGGCCAATAGGGCTGATGTCGATTCGGAGCCGCGGAGAACCTAACGGGTTACCGGGGCTCCGGCTCGAAGTGCAGGAGTAGGAACGGGGTGGTTTTTAGTCAGTAAGAGTCTGACACTCCCTCCCGCCTCACCCAGGCGGGAGAGGACATTCGATGATATTCCCCACTTAAAAAAAAACACATAAATAAAATAGTTATTGTGTTGTGTTTGGTATGTGCTGCAAACAACCGTGTGGACGGGGCTTAACAACAAAAAAGATTTCTCGAAGATTCTGCAGGATCGATACAAAATGTATTTATACGCGAGACTTCGGGTAAAAATCTACTACTACAATTATGATAATAGTAGTCGCTACCTGCCTTATAACAATGGGAATATAGATCAATATCGTCTGAATAATTTATACCGTGATTTTTTATTGAGTACCACTCATAACGTATGAAGTTACTAACATATGTGTTTGATATATTATACAGTGTTGCAGAAGGAAAATCTAGTCTTTTAACCAATGTTTTTCCTTATAAACTATATACTCATACTATTAATACGAAAGTCTAGCTGTATGGTGTTCAATCAAGGCAATATAGCATAACGCCTTTTATCCCCGAAGGAGTGGGCAGAGCATTACGACACTTTACTCGATGAGTACCGTCACTAAAGACACAATTAAACTGTCAAATACCAAGCGGTCACCGGTGACCGCAACCTATTGTTCTATAATTGTGTCTACAAAACCCGTACTCGACGAGTTAAAGAACAATAGGTTGCGGTCACCGGTGACCGCTCGGTGTTTGCCAGTTTAATGCCACTGTACAATGTAACGCCCTCTTTTCACTATTTATGTTATGAGTCCCACAATTCCAGACTCCGTGCTACTACTGAGAATTTTTTTAAAACCCTTAACACGTTCAACGCCATGGGGGTTACCGGTGACCGACGTTAGCTGAGGAATTGTCTTCAACATTTTTTTATTGGCAGTCAAAGCTTTAAATACTTTGCCCGACCCGGGCATTGAACCCGAGACCCCTTGTCTGACAGTCGCACTTGTGACCACTCGGCCAACGAAGCAGTCTTTTATTAAATTAGTATTTTCTGATACAAGTATTTTATTATTTGCTAACGTACGTCGTAAAAATGCAATGTAGGTAGAGACTTGTAGAGACTTTTAAAATGAGAGCATTTCGATGTAAAATGAATATGTCTTTTAATAAAGTTTTTAGTTGGTGTGACTGCCTCGTTGGCAGAGTGGTCGCAAGTGCGACTGCCAGGCACTAGGTTTTCTAAAAAAAAATCTCAATGGTAGCACGGAGTCTGAAATTATGCCCAGTATATGGCAATAGGCTTACCTCCTATTACATGGGACTCATAACATAAATAGTGAAAAGTGGGTGTTACATTGTACAGTGGCATTAAGTGCCGCTGCCGTATAATGTGCACCTCTGCCTACCCCTTCGGGGATAAAAAGGCGTGATGTTATGTTATATTGTGTCAGGAAATATTTATCAAGAAATGAAAAAGAGAAAACGGTAGTGGCTCAGTTTCTTTGCCTTTAAATGTAATAGTCTTCACAGATAAACTGACAGACGATTTTGACGCTTCAAAAGTGCTTGTTCGCGAGTGGAGTTAGAGGTAAATCTAGCGAGGTATAGTATCCTGCACAACTACCATTATTGGTGAATGCATAATAAATATTATATTTAGCATTTAATAATTGTTCTATGGAGGAAAATCGCTTTAAAGCAGTATTAGTGGCATTTATAAAACAGGGCTAAGTGCTAGTTAGTTTTGTGCTATACAAGATGATAACGGGATGGCATTCGCCGCTCTTATAGCTTGGTTCAGAGCTGGCCAATCAGAGCCAACTGTAGAGACCCAGAAGTGTTCTCTGATAAACCTGAAACGTTTATACTGCGATCTCCAACCCGCCTGCTAAGCGTGGCGACTCTTCATACAGATAATCCGAGAAATTGCACTACTTGACAATGAGTCTCCTCTACAAAAGAGGAATTACCATAAACTCCGCAGGCAGGCGGGGCATGCAGGCAGCCTTCTTGTACAGAGAAGGCTCATAATCACAGGCCGTCAATTCGCGTGTGACTGATTCGATACCCGCAAAGTCAAAGCATTTATTTCATAAACCATAATTTGGTACTTTTGAAATGTCAACAAATCAATACATAGTATAAAACAAAGTCGCTTTCGCTGTATGTCCGTATGTATGCTTAGATCTTTAAAACTACGCAACGGATTTTGATGCGGTTTTTTTTAATAGATAGAGTGATTCTTAAGGAAGGTTTATATCATGCATATTGCACCCGTGCGAAGCCGGGGCGGGTCGCTAGTACAAAATAAATAATAGTCTGTCAGTCAGTTCGTCAGTGAAGCTATGTGCTCATTCCAAAATGTAGATTCGAATGGACAACAAGCAAGAAACTACATTCGTCACTATTAAAGAAAAAGTATGTTCTACAGTGTCTCTGGTGCATATTCTAATATTGTACGTACGTATATGTGAGAACAATTAAAAAAAAAAACAAAATTAACAAAAACCTAAAATCGTGACAAAAGTTGCGGTTTCTTTCTAGCTTTTGTTATTTACTAGCGACCCGCCCCGGCTTCGCACGGGTGCAATATGCATGATATAAACCTTCCTTAAGAATCACTCTATCTATTAAAAAAAACCGCATCAAAATCCGTTGCGTAGTTTTAAAGATCTAAGCATACATAGGACATACAGCGAAAGCGACTTTGTTTTATACTATGTATTGATAACATAATTTTGGTGTTGAATAATTTTATTTTATGCTCTTTCTTACATCTTAAAATATTTATTGTTGAAAACAATAAAAGTTTATATTTGTTTGTTTTTGTGTTGAATTTAAGAAATAAAATCACGAAACGAAATCAATTGGTTTCTGTATTAATAACAATCATATTAAATGTAAAATATATAAATATCCCGAAACTGGAACCGGAACTTTCCCGAAAAAAATGTTGTAGTAAGGAAGTCTCCACTTTTTGTTTTTGTTCCTTGAAGTTTAGGTAAATCAGTCATCACCAACAGCCTATAAATGCCCACTGCTGAGCAAAGCCTTTTCTCACATAAATAAGGTAGAACATTAATCACCACGCTTGCTCAATGCGGGTTGGCGATTTCAAATTTATAATTGGAAATTATAAGTCCAGGTTTCCTCACGATGTTTTCCTTCACCGTTTGTCAATGGTGTCAAGATAATCTTAGAAAGTACATATAACTCGGAAAAAGTCACATTGGTACTTGTCGTTGGTAGGTTTCGAGCCCACACCCTCATGCATGAGAAGCGGGCGTCTTAAACCTCCGGGCCACCACGACATGCAACTTATCAGTATGTGCAAACTAATATATAATAGTAATTTTTGGTCGTTTTTTTTTTTTGGAGTCGGTTTTTTAAACGCATTTTTTACTAACATCCAAAATGTATTCCTTTGAAGGAAAATTCTTTTAATAACTCAGCACTGAAGCTATTCAAGTTAGCGTGGGCGACAGTATAGTATTTTTACGTCGAGTGGGCGGACGCCTACGCTTTGACATTTTCACAAACTGAATAAATACATTGATATAATATGATATAGGCAATATAATATCAACATTTTTATTGGATAGGGCGGTAAAGGAGCAGACGGATCACCTGATGGTAAGCAATCGGCTCGCTCATGGACACCTGGAACACCAGAGGCGTTACAAGTTGACCTATTTTTATAAGGATTACTTTTCGTGACTGCCTCAAGTCGCAAGTGGGACTGCCGGGCAAGGGGTCTCGGGTTCAACTCCCGGGCAAAGGATCTTGGGTTCGATTCCCAAGTCGGGCAAAGTATTCCAAGGTTTTCTTAAGAAATTTCAGTAGTAGCACGGAGTCTGGAATTGTTCACGGTATATGAAAATAGGCTCACCCTCTATTACATGGGACTCATAATCATAACATAAATAGTGAAAAGTGGGTGTTAGATTGTTCAGTGGTGGCAATAAGTGCCGTAATATGCACCTCTGCCTACCCCTTCGGGGATAAAAAGGCGTGATGTTATCTCATGTTGAAAGTGGGTCTGTTTTTCTTTATTTCATGCCGTAATAAAGAGATTTAATGATATGATTTTTTATTTGAAAATCCCAACGTACAACTGCCAGGCACGATCACCTCGCCTGGTCGGAGAATCCTCCTTTCCGATCTTAGGGAACTATACTCTCTGTTCCCTAAAGTGGTGACCCCGACGTGATCAGTCATGTACACACAAATAGCACAGAGAATAATTATATATTTATATAAAATTAGAGTACATAATTAATTATTTATTACTAGCGACCCGCCCCGGCTTCGCACGGGTGCAATATGCATGTATTATACATACAAACCTTCCTTAAGAATCACTCTATCTATTAAAAAAAAACCGCATCAAAATCCGTTGCGTAGTTTTAAAGATCTAAGCATACATACGGACATACAGCGAAAGCGACTTTGTTTTATACTATGTATTGATGTACTTTTTTATTATATATACATCACAACTGGTAATCGTGTCATGGTAGCCTGGAGCCTTAAGACGCCCGCCCGCTTCTCATGCATGAGAGTGCGGGCTCAAAACCTACCAACGACAAGTACCAATGTGACTTCTTTCTACTTTCTAAGATTATTTAGACACCACTGACCAACGGTGAAGGAAAACATCGTGAGGAATCCTGGGCTTATAATTTCTAATTATAAGTTTGTAATCACCAACCCGCATTGATGAAGTATGGTGATTAATGCTCAAGCCTTCTCTGGGGGAGAAGAGGCTTTGCTCAGCAGTGGGCACTTATAAGCTGTTGATGTATGTATGTATGTATGTATGTAACTGGCAATCTTAAACTGTCAAACACCGAGCGGTCACCGGTGACCGCAACCTATTGTTCTTTAATTGTGTCTATAATGATGGTACTCGACGAGTTAAAGGTATATTACAAGAAACCGTCATTATTGGCATTTTGAAAATGGTTTTGGATATGAATAACTAGAAATTACTTTTAGAAGTGGAGACAAGAGAGTGGAACACATTTATCGTCACCTCTTCTCTTCTCTATCTACAAGTGTCATAACAGCCAACTAACAGACTATACATTTATATATAAATATATAAATAAAAATGAATATCCGTTTGTTAGTCTCGCTAAAACTCCAGAACAGCTGAACCAATTTATCTAATTTTAGTCTTGAAATGCCTCGTTGGCAGAGTGGTCGCAAGTGCGACTGCCGGGCAAAAGGTCTCGGGTTCGATTCCCGGGTCGGGCAAAGTATTACTGAGTTTTTAAAAAATTCTCAGTAGTAGCACGGAGTCTGGAATTGTTCCCGGTATATGGCAATAGGCTCACCCTCTATTACATAGGACTCATAACATAAATAGTGAAAAGTGGGTGTTACATTGTAGTGGTATAATGTGCACCTCTGCCTACCCCTTTGGGGATAAAAGGCGTGATGTTATGTTATGTAGTCGTGAAATGTCCAGGGAGGATTTAAAATGTGAGAAAGTAAAATTTAGGCTGTATGTATGAAGTTTCTCGGAGCATCTAGTTTAATATAGACTTGGTAGCAGCTCTGATAATAAACCAGAGCAATTTAAACTACAATCTCCGACCTGTTAGCCACACATGGAGATTACGGCAAACCACTCTTAATGTGTTGATATGTCATACCAAAAGTCCTCAAAATCTGTTCATACAAAAGTAGTCTCTAAACATCGGAAATAAGGTCTATAATGTAGTTAGTTAAGAGCAGTCAACAGTGACCGTTTGGGGATTGACCAGTTAAGTAGAGGAGTCACATAAGCCCGCACGACTTTCAAGGACTGTTGATGTCAATGAAGATATCATTTCTAGTATGATGCTACTGACAAATACGTTATAAGATTAGCCACTGAACAATGCATATTGTTACTATGAAACTTAGATCCATTACAGGCAATCAAGTATTTAACAATAATGAAAACATAACAAAACAATGTTTATAAACATTAGCCAATCAAATCTGAGTGACCTCATCATCTAATAATAGTCTGTATGTGAGTAATTTTCAAACAACATTCCACATAAAGAATTAATTTTAGGAATTACTTGAAAAATCTATAAGGTAAACAAATTCAATGGAAATAGGTATAAGATAGGAGATAAAATATTATCTTTTAGTAATAAAAATGCTACCAGTTTTTTGTATATCATGGTGCAAAATTCATTTTCAATTTCTAAGAATTTTGTAAACTAGACGAGCCATTTTTAAAATACACATGGACAATATTGCATGGTTTTTAAATTCTAAGTTGCTATGTGACACAGGCAGCACTTCATTATGCCTTGTATAAAACCTCCATGCTATTTGGTTATAAAATATAATGTAAATTATGAATCTAACACCATGGGTATTATAAATTATTTACAACATGGCTATTGCCATGAATATGTTAATTCAAAATTCACAGGAACATTGTGAATATCACTTTCATTGGTTTATATGTGGAAAAGTTTAAAACAAACACACTTTTGAGGCTACAAAGAAGTGCAGATAAATTAAAAAAAAATTACTTATTGTTCTCCTCATAAACCACAGATAAAATAACACTAAGTTATTACTGCATAACAAAGTCATGATTGTGCCAAGTACCTACACCTACCTACATCCTATTACACGCAAGTACAAAATATTCACATTTTACAAAAAACAGTTAACTCCACAAACAAACAAAATAGTTGTTAAAACTTTTCGGATACCGTTACACAAACATCGCTGACCTACAATTAAAAAACATTGACAAAAAAAACACAAAATTTTAAGGTTATGGTGATGAAGCAACAATCGTGAAATTACGTTTTTATGTAAAAATTAGAATGCAAATATGTAAATAATGATGGTATTTACCTGAAAGTCTTGATTTTGTGCATGGCAGCGTGTTGCGGCCGAATTATTTTTGATTTAGTACGGGCATAAACTGACAGCCTGTGGTGACATGACAGACAAGAATTTTTTTGACGTTTCAAACGTGATCCGATGCGGCAGATGCTGGGTGGTCAGGTAATTGAATTTTACACGTTTTGTGGGTAAATTTCACCATCATGAAATTATTGATTTTTACATTTTTAATTTTTAAACATTTCGAAAAAGATATTTTCATATTTCAAAACACTTTCAATTATTTATATTTATTTTGTTTTCTTGAGGAAGAATAAGCATAAAAAAACAATATTTTTGCCATCAGAACAATAATTATTCTACATAGCTTCTGTAGAAATTATGTAGGTTGTCCCAATACTATTTTCGGTTACTAATTAGTTTTAACAGCACCATATACCTGATAGGTACGTTTAACATAAAGGGCAAAAACTGAATATTAAGAGAAATTAAATATTAAGAGTAATTATCTACAAAGAGAAAAAAGAAAATACATGTTCAAGTATGTATGAATAGTTACTGTTAAATTATTGAATAAATTAGGGACCGCCAATGAATGTTATCTTCTACTAAAACAAAATAAATGTTCCACAAAAAACGTATAATATATACTTAACCTATTTAAATGTTACCAGCATTAAAAATGAAACCTCCTCGCAATTTCAGAGCACAGATTATAATCACTGCGTCATTTTTAGCTACGTGTAATGAACTATAACAAATAATATTATGAAAATTAATCCTATTGCGTTTACGTCACTTAATTAACCATATTATTTGTTATAAATGTCCTTGTTGTATGTTTTATTTACTATGACTCATTTGTATAACACTTGCAACTTAAATATTGTATTCGAGTTGTTTATTTTCATTTTTAATGAGTTAGTAACAACGTGTAGGCGAAGATTATTGTTTTTAAAATTGTCTATTGACAATTTGTACATTCTGATTATTTTATGGTTTTTAATTTATGAATCCTGTTTTGAATGATTTGTAATTGTTTTTTAATTGATATTTAATGATGCAGTTAGAGAAACATTAACATGTTTGGTGTAGTTAGCTTAAATTATCAATGTTTGAAATGCTGTCAAAAATTCGATGTTATTCACATAATTTATTTTAATTTTAATGCAAATTATATGCAAATTAGAGTCGTGTTATTATTGTATTCAAGTAGGATGATTCAATTACATATTATTTTAAATAAATAAAATAGATATACATACATTTATGAATACAAAAATTGCTATTTTTAACCGAATTAAAAAAAAGGAGGTTCTCAGATCTGTATGTATGTATCTTTGTATACGATTATCTCGCGATGGGCTGAACAAATTTTTATGTGATTTTCAGAAGTGTTTTTTTTACATTTAGGAGAAGATTCCAGTATATTAATCAACCGACATATAAAAAAGTGGGAGTTGGAGTTGAATTGAAGTCGATTTTTTTAAAAGTATTGTTAATTTTATTTTTATTTTCAGCCATGATCGTCCCACTACAGGGCAAAGGCCTCCTACCCTTCTTTCATTGTCGCGGGGAACCTAACGGGTAACCGGGGCTCCGGCTCGACGTGCAGGAGAAGGAACGGGGTGGTTTTTAGTCAATAAGAGTCTGACACTCCCTCCCGCCTCACCGAGGTGGGAGCAGTCATTCGATGATTTTCCCCCCTTAAAAAAAAAACCTTCTTCCACTACTATCTATGCATAGCTTTTTAAAAAAATATACATGATATCAAAGTATTACTTGTAAATAGTTATACGCAAACGAGAGTCGTGCTATTAATACCTATTACATATAGGCTACTTCTTATGCCATGGGAACGGGGGCGGCCCCACGAGCACAAGCTAGCAAAAAAAATAAAAATAATAAACAAAATCCACACGATTCTCCTTGCATAGCAGACAAGTACCTAAATGTTTTAAAACAATGCGTTCAAGGAAATAAGTTATTTTGAAAACGTTTTCGATCTTATTTTTCAAAAGAGGAAATTAAACTAAAAATGTAATATAGTTACTAGTTACGAAAAAATTCAGGTTTTTCAGAAAACTCTGCTGCTCGGAGTCCCTTAGTTGGTTTATGATACCCGCGGGAAGAGATGAGGTGGTATCATGTATTCTACGCGGTTACATTACTACGATACGAAATGATAACAGTGGCGTATTTTTAGATTTTACAACCGGACTAGATAAATATTGGACCAACGTACATATGGCTAAAAAACCAAATAATCTTGGTCCCGCCTTGAATGACCTTTCCGTACATTTAACGATCAATTTATACTGGCTGCACATTACTTGATTCATGAAGCTATCAAATCCAGTTGATCTTGGTCCCGCCTTGTATGGTCTTTTGGCACATGCGACGGTCAATTTACACTGGTTTTTATAGGTTGTGTTATAGCCGGTATGTACGATACCTATATTTTTTTTTGTTATCACTGTCTGGTATGTAAATACTATTTTTGATAATACAAATTAAATGTTTTACAAGATAAGTTTATTATATATGTTTAATCTTTATTAAAGACTTCCTATTGATGTGATGTGTGTGATATGTACTTAGGTCGGAATTTGTCGAGTCATTTTTTTTTATTATGTTACGATACGGCTGTGGGTAAGACCTAGTAATGGCAGAGTAGAATACACCACAGCACCACTCTTACTGTTTCTGCAGGTATCGTAAGTGTGGGAGGAGCTGACTAGGGATCAAAGATTGTATAGCAATGCTGTCGGCTTAGTTCAAGTTGGTTTTACGTTCACCGAAATCTAAATGAGACTGTATAGCGCTCTGAGGCCATAGTAGGAGTCTGTTTCACGTTTAAAATAATCGGAACGAGATGGCGGTCCGCGCTCTTATCGCATTGCAGCAGTCTATTATTCACGTTTTTTTAAGACGACCGACTTGAAACAGCGCTTGCGTTTTGTTTCGTCGTGTGAGTACCTACGGTTACCGAAGACCCCAGTGACCCCTCCACCAAGGCCAGTTGTCACACCTCTGGTTGTCAGGTGTCCCTGGGCGACGCCGATTGCTTACCATCAGGTGATCCATCAGATCGTTCACCGGTTTATCTCATAAAAAATCATTTATAATTGTTATAATTACAATACGATTATAATAATTACAATCGTAATACCATAAATCGACTAAATGGTTTACTAAAACTATGACTACACAATGACTACATCACTAAAGATTAAAAAAACAAATGTCAATGCTTACTGTCAAGTGTCAAGTGTCAACTTCGCTTGTTTTCGGTTTGATTATTTTCGTCTCTCGGTCTATCAAAAATTAAAACTGCTTATTTGAGAATTGTGCACAACATACTTGTTCAATTGACATTAAAACCTTAAAAATGTCTAGCGACGAGCACCACGAAGAGGTTGTGGAAATCGTAGAGGAAGACAGTTTGAATTATATCGCAGAAGATTCGGATGTAACATGCACGATTTGTCAAGCGGAGTTTTTGGACCCTGAGGACCTGAAAATACACATACAGCAGCTTCATAAAGGAAAAGGAACGCAACAATGTTATTTTTGTCCACAAATGTATACAGATTTAATGGATTTCGCTGAGCATTTTCGTGATAAACATCTTGCGAACTTATTTTACTGTATGTACTGTCTACGATCTTTTAAGAATGAGAAAGAGTATAAATTGCATGATAAGAAGCACAAACGAGGTACTAAGTCGACATACAGTTGCGCTATGTGCAGCGAGAGGTATGGGAGTCTCTGGGATTTGCGAAAACATGATCTAATGTTTCACGAAGATAGCGACGAAGGTTACGTGATCCAGAATCTCCTTCCTTACTTGTCCGCGGTGTTGAAATGCAAGGCAGTTACTGCTTTACTTGCTCATCATAAGCCCACAGTGCATACTTGTATGAGCTGTCATTATACTACAACGGAACTGGATGATATTATAGAGCACTCCCGTAATAAGAAGTGTAAATGCTACGTGTGTTATAAGTGTACTAATGTCTATAAAAAGAAATCTGCATTGCAATCCCATTTGGAGAAAGTCTGCGAGAAATTAAAGCCCTACGGACGTGTCAAGTGTCCCGATTGTAAGGTTATTTACAATTCTTTAGTGTTTTCAAAGCATAAGAAAGTTTGTAACATTATTATATGCTTTACGTGTGGGACACAGTATCCTTCTATGTACGAGTTGACCGAACACCAATCTAAGGATCATCCGTTGTCTATAGAATTAGCTACATGCAAGTTCTGCTGGAAGCAATGCGTTGGTACGGTCGCTTTAGACAAGCATATTGAAAGGACTCACAAACCACACTTGCACCTGTATAAATATCTATGCACTTATTGCAAGATGCCTTTTAACCATCCGCAGAAGTTATTTGCACACTATTTTACGATGCACAAAGATATAGAACCTTACACTTGCAAAATTTGTTCCAAAAAGTTTCGAATAAGAAAGCAATTTACTTTGCATATAAAACTGGAACACAAAAGCATCGGGTTTGTTGAGTTCGATGAGAATTATCATGTGTTTTTCACTGAGAAGAAGTCTGAAAATCCTTTTATCCCTAAAAGTCTGTATGAGAATGAGAATGAGAAGCAGACTGCAGAAAACTCTGACAATACAAACATGTCTATTCTAAACATAAATTCAGAAATATCAGAAACTGAAGGTAATCAGACAGAAACTAGTTTACTAGTGCCCAAAAAACGGAAAAGAGGTCCTGCTAAAGGCCGTAAAAAGACTCAAAATGTTATAACTATATTGTCATCGGACGATGAACCTTTAGAAGTTTTACGAAAGAAAACTGAGCCAGTACAGAATACAATGGTGACCAGTTGGAAGAAGAAGCAGCAGGCGATTAACAAAAAGCGATTTACTTGCACTATTTGTAACAAATACTGCTACACATACCAAAATTACAACCACCATGTCAGTCTCCATTCGAAAAATGACTACAAAAAATGTATTAAATGCTCCAAAGTTTTCCGTAGCAAAGAGAAACTTAACAGACATATGAACACTGAACATTCATCTTCTAAACTGACTGATACTCTAAAAACTATGTTAGAAAAACGCAAAAAAGGCGAAAGCATCACCGATAGCTTGCCTATGTCTGAAAGATTCAGACGAACTATCAAAAAGGTTCACTGTGAAAATACAGGCGCTGTAGCAAACATAAAACAAGTCGAAGATGGTCTTTCAGTGCAAAAGTTTATTGAGAACTTCATGCCCGAAGAAAATAGATCCGAAAGTCCAATAGACAATACTGTTACAATTAAAACGGTGAGCGGAATCGAAAAGAAATCGACGATAAAGATGACCAAGTTCAATATAAAGCCGGTGTCTGATAGCAGGAGATTGGCGATGCCGGTTAAGTTTAAAACTAACCAATTTGCGAAGACATTAGCTACTATCCGTTTAGTACAGGCTGTATCGTATCAAGAAGACAGTCAGGACAACGATAGCCAATCGTATAACGAAGAAATGGATAGAAATGAATCAATTCCAGAAGTAGCGGAAGAAGTAATGCTTGAAGGCACAGAGGAGACGCCAAAATCGTCTCAAATACCGCATAAAGTTGTCATACCGAAGCTTCCGACGATGTATAAAGACCTTCGAATCGCGCATTTGCATCCCCAAGCGCCATATTACAAAATAGTCACAGTGAATGAAGTTTTAAACGCTGCCGAAAAGCCGGTTGTCAAAAAAGAAGTAGCCAATAAAAAAAATGATACGATAAAGTTACCGGACGGGACGAAATTGGTTACGACCAATCCCTTAGCTCATTTGTTAGGTAAGACACCGATTGAAAAAGTAATGCAACCAATGAAAAATAAATATTATAAGTGCAAGGAGAGGAATTTGCCCAAAATGCTAGCTGAGGCTCTAAGTAATCTGGATAAACCGCTGGTAAGAAAGAAGAAAGTCATTGATGATACTTTTTCTGAAGCTAGTAGCTAAAGGTCTGTGGTCTCTCGCGATGTAGTCATTGGCAGTGCCGTAATTATACCGTACGAAGTCGCGGTTGGAAGCTAGTTACGTATAGTTTTTGAACAGTAAGGATATTATGTTTTGTTTTTAATGTATTCAATGTTTCTTGTTACTCATTGAAGAATGTAATCACAATTTTAGATTTCGGGGAACTTTGAATAGAAAACTTCAGCGTCTTTGTCCGAAACAAATTATGTTTTAGTTTTTATTTATAAACATGTAATCTAGCGGTCGATTGTATAATATTGTTTAGAGCTTAGGATATTAGATGAATAGAAATTTAAACTTTATCACAATACTGTAAGGATGAAAATCTATTACAAAAAGTTCACGAGTTGGCGACTGGATTTTGTCGTAGTCAATTTTAGGAGTACCGATCCTGTTGATTTGTTATTTTACTTCTTAGTTATAAATATGAATTTAATAATGTTAATAAACTATAAAATACATGTACATAATATTTTACACTTCATTGGTTTGTTTTATTTGAAAAATCGTTTCTATGTATGTTTTTACTCCAAAACTACTGAACAGATTTGAATACAATTTGGCACGGAGATAGATTAGTCTGGAATAACACATAGGCTACTATTTCCGGACAAACCCGCGGCTAAAAGTGAACGCATAATAAAAACAACAAAAGTATTTGAAAATAATATTTATTTAATTGGAAACCACTTACATTTTAATGTCTTAACAATAAACAATTGAATTCTAAAGCTTTTGAGTCTGAACGATTATCATTTGGCGTAAACACATTACTCTCTTTCATACAGTCGGTTAAACGCCCGTGTAATAGGGGCTGATGGCAAAACCAAACATCACACACAATTTCAGATTACTTACCATTACTGGGGATTATCAAAAACCGACAAAAACAATAATACTTTGGCCTGAGCGCTTACTCTTGAAACCAATCTCAATGTCAATGCAATTTCAATCCAATAAAATCTCAATAATTATTCAATGTCAACACTATACAACCACAATCGTAGCTGTTACAATAGCATTCAGAGTACGGAATGTAAAGACAAACTCAATACCATTTAGTTCATTAAATACCCACGCAATACGGATGCAATGGGCGCTAGTGTTGCAACTCAAGAGTACGACACAATATCAATGTCGATCGATCGGAATTGGATTCAAGAGTAAGCCCGGGACTCGAACCTGAGACTTTTTTGCTCAGTATATACTTGCGCTCACTCGACTAACAAGGTAATACCTATTATAATTTAAAAAAAAACTAGCTTTTTACATTAGACGTTCGTTTAGACTCTTACAAAAAATGTCTTATTTTATGAAATACAAATTAAATTTACTATACAATGCGAGGACGTCGAGAGAAAGGCGGACACAGTCTCTTGAAGCAACGACTGCGGCACCTGGCTACTGTACACTTACATAGGACACACACACATCGACACGAAGGACACCTGTCGTGTTCTCAAGTCTGGGAACGAGGTAACACATTTCACACGCACACATAAATGACCCACTGACATTTTGGTGCTTCAATCGTTTCCAAGCGACATTACGTCCGCCTTTCTTCCAACGTCCTCGATACAATGGAGCTTAGTATTAATTTATATGCCTAGATCTTTGTCGCCAGACACTAGAACACAGCCGGCTGGTGACGGGGAGCCAGAGTAGAATATATTTATTAGAGGCCATCCATAAATTACGTCACACGTTAAGAGGGAGGGGGAGGGGGTACACGAAGTGTGACATTGTGTGACAAGGGGGAGGGGGGGATCCTACACTTCAAGAACATATCTGTGTGTGAATATAAAATACCAATTGTTTTGTCGACCACTCGCTCTACTTGTTTGATTCGAAGTTAACATTATTTAAACATAATTTCAGTACCGCTGTTTTCATTGAGTAATTTCTATGCGTTAATTTGAAAAATGTGACGTCACACTAGGGGGGGGAGTCTCACAAATGTGACTGGCTGTGACAAGGACGCGCGGAGGAGGGGGGAGGGAACAAAACATCATTCAACTCGTGTGACGTAATTATAGATGACCAATAATGTGCAATGTAACACAATTTTGACCAAATTCCTAATAAATAATTGTCTAGGCATACAACTTTAACATAAGCCAATGCACTAAACGCCTGTCTCACATGTACCTGATAAAGTCGCTATGTATTAGCTTCATTGAAACATTATTGTATTTTGCAAACCGACAATGTATACCAAAGGTGCACTGGCGATGAAATGACGAATTTAAATATCAGTTTCACATTGAACAGTGAACCTTAATTCTTAGAACTTTAGGTTCGAAATTGATTACTTACAAAAAACCGACCAGATCCAACAATTTTAACGGTTAAACGATTTTTTAACAAAATTCGATTTACAATGAAATGTCAAATACATTTATTATCATTATTTTCCATGTCCTACGACATCGTGACACAATATACAAATAATTGTGCAATTTGTACATTTGCTAACTAGAGATATAGTATTGTTCGGAACTATACTTAGACCAAGATCGACGTGAGATGTTCACAAACAAGCCATAAGTGTATTTGTCCGTGTGTATGTACCCGCTACGTCCGTCCCACTCCCGCCCTCTCTCTCTCTCTCTCTCACTCTATTTACCGACAGTTCCGAGTGATGACACAACTATACAAGCACACAAACTGCTATTTGCTGCGGACAGATGTACTCGCACCTTTGTGGCTTGTTTATGAACATTTCACATCGATCTTTGTCTAACCCGTTGCCTAAATTTGTTCATACAAAAGTAGTCTCTAA